AAAAAACAGTGTGTGGGTATTTCCAGGAAGTAGGTTTCAATTCAATGGAAGGAATTCTTCCAAGTCCAGGAAGGAGGGACTTTTTGTTACACAAGAAGCAGCGTGCTGAGCTGAAGAAGTGCTCAGGCTTTGCCATTAACCACAGGGTCCCATCTTTATTTCCATCTCAGAATGCAGAAAGGAACATTGGTGGGGGTGGGGTGAGAGAAACGAGGCTCCTACCTCTTGGCTCATATCTTGCCAGAGACCTGCTGTTTTCCTGCTGACGGGGCCTGTGCGATCCCATGTAGTTGTCTTAGGGTTGTGCCTGTTTCCTTGGCTGGTGTGTAGATGCCCTGTGTTGGGGAGGAATCATGTGCTCCCTGAATGTCCAGCTTGGTGCTGTCCAGGCTGGGTCTATGGAATGCGGACTGGGGATTCCCTGTGGCCTCTTGATCCCTCCTCTCACCACCAGTCTAGATCATGTAGGAAGAGACTTTCTTTGGATGAGATAGCATGACCTCAGCTTGGCTGGAAGCATGGGAGGAATTCGGGGAGCATGTCTGGGTTCTGTCTTCATGTGGACAGAAAGCAGCCCTGGAAGACGGTGCTTGCTCATTATGTCTCCTGTGACAAGCCACTCAAGGGTGGAGAGAAAAATTGGGGTGCCTTTTTCTTGGGGGAAAGAAGCATCATCTTTTCTCATGAAGTGTCACAGCCAAGTGCTTTCTCAGCCCACGGCTGTCTGGGGCCAGAAAGTGCAGGCATAGCTGGTCCTCCAGCTCCTTAGTCAGTGCTGGGGAAGGGAAAGATACATGTGAGTCACGTTTGAAATTGGAGGTGTTCTTATAGCTGCATTTTAAAAGGTCAGGAGAAACAAGTAAAATTAACTTAAATAACAAGTTCAAGTTAACCCACTTCGTCCAAAATAATATGATTGCAACAAATAATCAGCATAAAAATTAAATCACCAAAATTGAAGACCCAGTCAAGAAATGGACACATGAAATGAACAGACACTTTAAAGAGGAAGAAATACAAACGGTCAACAGATCTATGAAAAAATGTGCTACATCTCTGGCAAGCTAAAATGATGTTAAGATTCCATCTTACTCTACAAAGAGTGGCAATCATTAAGAAATGAAATAACAACTGCTGTCATGTAAAAAAAAAATGAAACATCCTACATTGTCGGTAGAAATATAAACTGGTACAGTCATTATGAACTCAATATGGAGATTTCTCAAAGAACTGAAATTAGAAATTCCACACAACCCAGGTATCTGCCAGCTCACCTGAAGGAGCTTAAGACATCATCCAGCAATACATGTGCACCAATGTTTACAGCAATACAATTCATAATAGCTAAACCCTGGAATCAACCTGTGTACCCATAAACAAAGGATTGGATAAATAAAATATAATATATACATAGGAGTACTACTCAGCAGTAAAGAATGTCAAATTTGAAACATTTGTAGGAAAATGGATACATCTGGAAAATACAATGTTAAATGAATAAACTAGACACACAAGCTTAAATACTGTATGGTGTCTCTCACTTGAGATGTGCAAAGTATAAACAAAGAGAATAATAAAAAGAATGGATAGAAGGGGACAAGAGGATGGATCTCTCACAACAGGAAAGGGGCCCAAGGGAGTTAGGGTGAGGGGTGAAGAGGACGGGAAGGAGAAATGAGAGGAATAAAGTTTTTTTAGATCTCAATAAACATAGACATTATATGTCATAACATGAGCTAATATTAATAATATTTACAAGAATGAAAATCAAACAGGGGAATTAGAGGAGGAGGGAAGAAGATGGGAAGGGGATTAAAAAAAAGTCATAGTACGAACATGTTCCCATTCTCCAGACTGTAAACTGCATGTACTGCAAACATGTACTAATGAAACAAAAACAGTTTTTAAAAATGAATGAGATATTTCACTTTTTTGCATTAAATCTTGAAATTTAGTGCGTCAATACCTAGAGCACGATTCTAACTGGCCACATGACAAGTGTTTCGTTGTCACATGTGGCTAGTGGCTACCATATTTGACAGACCAGTTTTAGACCATGATTCTCAATATGAAGTTTCAGAACTCTTAGAATTTATGCCTCCTAGGATTACCTCTGGAAGAAGATCAAGGTTTCCGGTCAAGGAAATGAGTTTTTTCAAGGAGACCCATATTCCTAGCAAAGCTGAGGTCCACACCTGTGAGCCCTTGTGTTGGTAACTCCCTGGTCCCAGCAATCTCGTGCAAGCAGAGGTGGCCTGCTGGCAGCCACCATCAAAGTATAAAATGGGCCACAGAGGAGACGGGTAGATAGGAAAGAAGGTAGAATGGGCCACCCCAGCAGATATCCTCCCTCTGTCCCCGTCTTTCTTCCTGGAGGGAATGCCTGGGCACAGAATGGGCAGCAATTCCTTTGGTGACTCCACAAACCTGAACACAGACGCAGGCCAGCCCTTTCCTTTCTGATTCCCTTTTCCCCATGCATGTTGCTGTCTATACTAAGCTGGATCTAGCTTGGCTGTGGTGAGCCCTGGGGAAGACAGGCTGTGCTCAGATTTCCTGAAGGAAGGAACAGTTCACCCTGCCTGGGGAAACTGAGGTAGGCTTCCCGGGGTGGTGATGGTTGGGATCCAGGGATGCAGGGAAATGACATCCAGGCAGGAGCGTAGGGAGGGGGCTGGTTTCCTATTTCCCCGAGGTCCTGGCACTGCGGCTCTTTCTCCTCTCTCCACTCTGAGGTCTCAGGAGTCACTGTGTGTTCTTACATGAGAAAGGAGGTCCCTTTTTTTTAGTCTTTCTGTCTCATCTAAGTTCCTAAGATGATCAGCAGCTGGTGCATGTCCACTGGGGGTTAGATGAACAGAGGAGAATGAGGAAACCAGAAAGGGGACCTCTGCTGAGACCAGGCCACTGGGCACAGAAAACAGGGGTCGGTAAAAGGGTAAGTGAGTCCTGCATGCTAGTCTTGTCCTGTGATCTTCAGAATCTCACTGTCCAGCAGTGGGAGATAGGAGGAGCTGCCTCCGTTCTAAACATGAAGAAACTGAGCCTTACAGAGGTCAGTGACCTGCTGGGGTTAAGGCCCATTTTGGCTGACCTTTCTAGGTGCTTTCTGGCATGTCCTCACCTGGCTACTGCCAAGAACCCAGCAGTGATCAAGTTCCTGGCAGGCGCTGTGCCCTTGGGGAGGGACGTCCATTTCCCCCAGGAGTTCCTGGAAAGGCCTCCCGAAACGGAAAGGGCTTGGAGCTCACCCAACCACATCCCCACCCCCAGAAAGGACGGGAAGCAGTTCCAAGAAGTAAAGTGGTTTGCTGAAGGTCACTTGGGGATTTGGTGCCCAGAGGTGGGCTTTACTACCTTGGCCCTGGGCACTGACCCACGGCAGCTGCTATGGGAAAGCCACTGCCAGCCCTTGAGCCTCAGCTTTCCCAGCCAGGCAAGAGGTAGGACTGCTTTGGTGTAGCTGCCTGGGGCTGGAGCCAGGGCACTGGAAATAGCTGAGCACAGGGCTTCAGCTTCACCAAGGTAGCTCATCCCCTGCTGTTCCTAGTGCCATAGCTGGCGTGGTGCGTCCCTCCCCTTAGGCAGGCGCATAGTTGGCACTCAAGAAACCTGTGAGTGAACAGAAGGTTAAATATCACGTGGTTTCTTTTATTGTTTATACCAAAGTGTAAACAATTTAGGAGCAAAATGTAAGACTGCAGGAAGCAGGGAGACAGACTGGGGAGATGGGAAGGGGATCTGGAGGTGGCGGGAGGCTGGAGGGGAAGTAAAGAGGATTAGGATGCGATGGGCATGTGTTCCAATTCCCCATGACGAAATGGAACACATGAGGAAACTAGAAATGTTTAAGTGGATGAGCAAGATTAGTGAATCAAAGAACAACAATCAACAGTGCTTCAAGGGAGGTGGATGGGGACAACCATGCCCATTTTACAGATGAGGAACTGAGGCCCAGAGTACAAACATTCAGGTTGCTATTCTCCATCTCCTGCCTTTTCTCAGCACCAAATCTTGAAACTGTCCCCGGAATACTCTGACCCAGTCACTGGGGTGAGAAGCAGATCACTACCTATCTTAAGCCTGAGGCTGGACAAGATGCTGGCGGGCAAAGTGGTGCTTCCTTCGCAATGCTCAGGGCACAGTCTCACTAGCTCTTATCAGTTTGGGTGCAAACCTCACCCCTGCCGCTTCTGGCTGTGTGGCCTTGTGGAAGTAACTTACGCTCTCAGCCTCAGTTTCCTCATCTGTAAAATGGGAATCCAATCAGAAGGCCCAGCCCGAGGCTGGCGCAGCTATTCAATGAGACAATGCATGGAATGCACTTAGTCCAGTGCAGCGCCTGGCCTAGCGGAAGTGCTCTCGCAGTGCCAGCTGTGGTCAGTTTTATTTGGTGACACACACATTGATTGCACATTTTCAGTGCTGGAGTGGTGAGGGCTGCTTGGAGGACACACATCTGACGCTTCTGTCGCTGTGTGACACTGGCCAGGCCCATCGCCTCCGCGTCGTGAAATGGGGGTCCACCGCTGTGGGGTAACTGCAGGCGGGGAGTTGGTGTCCCTTTGGCACGGGCGGGGCACAGAGCAGGACAGGACAAACGCTGAGGACCATCTTGTGAGGCTCGGGCTCCTATCTGCATCTTCACAGAAGCAAACCGTCACTAGAAGGCGGTCAGAAAATGTTTATTTAGTGCATAAACGGGGAGTGGGTGAGCGAGAGCCCGCGGGCTGGGGTGGAGCAGCGGCGCGCCCGGGGCCGTGGGAACCTCCTCGCCCGCGACTGGGGCTACGAGCCCGCCGCTGCTCCCCGCCCGGAGTGGGGGCCGGCCGTGAGTGGGCCCGAGATGAAAGGGCCGCGAGCGCCCCGCCGCCTGGTCCCGAGCGCGCCGGCGTGAGCGCGGAGGGCGCGGTCCCCGACGCCGCCGCCGCCCCCGGGGCGCAGGGCACGGCGGTTCCCACGCTCGGCCGGCCGGGGGCGTTCTCGGCGGCGTGGCCGCGCTGTAATTAGGGTAATTGCGCTGCGCCCGCCTGGGGCAGCCCGGCAGGACAGGGGCAGCGGGGCCGGAGGTGGCCAGCCCGCCCTTCCGGACAGCTGGGTCGCACTCCCGGGCAGCCGCCGAGGGGGCTCCTGGGGTGAGCCGGGAGATGGGGGCAGCGGCAGAGAGACAGACAGTCCTGGAGAACAAGCACCCACTGTGTGCTCGGAGTGCAGTTGAGGCCGCTCCCGCTGGACCCCGGCGTGTTGTCCGCGCTGCCTGACCCAGAGAAGGCGCCCAGAGCACAGACTGCATTCTGATCGAGCAGGATGTAACAGGTGGGCATTAGAAAGTGCAGAAGGTAAAGTGACCAGTCCAGGGCCACACAGTCAATGGATCTGTGCGCAGAATGAAATGAAGGCGCTTCACCCAGCAGATGGAGGTTTTACTCCCTAGAGGATCTCGAATTTACTGCACCCTGAATCCTAACGCTAAAAGCTCATGCTGAGCTTTAGGTTCACGGCAGGGCACATCATAAACCCAGATCTTTACCACTGATGCAAGTCACCAAAATCCTTCTGGAAAAGGCAGGTTAGAAACAAATAACCTGGTTTCAAGATCTAATGCCTAAAGCCAAATCCAGCCCAAACCCTTAACCTTGCTCCATAGCTGACTTCCAAATTAATCTTGACCCTGGCAACCTTTTCCTGGCAATGAGTCCTTGCCACCTCTGCCTGCAGTGTGTTTCACGGGACTGGGTCTTTACACACGCTGTGGACTCACGCCAGAGATCCTTCCTCCAGGGCCACCCGGCCACCTCCCAGCGTCTTCCATTCCCACACTATGCCACCTTGTGCCTTCGCCTGCCTCTCTCCAGGTTCTGAGCTCTGAGAGAGTAGGCTTGGAGTCTGGGAGGAGACATTGCAAATATAAACAACTGGTTGTGTATGAGTGAGTGAATGACTGAAAAAATGAGAAGTAAATGAATGAAAATAAATGACTGAATTATTATCATTATCATTATTATTTTGTGGTACTTGGGGTTAAACCCAGGGCCTTTGCACTAAGCTACATACCCAGCTCTTTTGTATTTTTAAAAAATATTTATTTTTGTCTTTTTGAGACAGGGTCTTGCTATGCAGTTCAGGCTGAATTGGGCTCACTTTGTGGTCCCAATTCTGGGACCCAAGACCTTCCTCCTCAGGCTGGTCTTGAACTTGCAAACAATTCTGTTGCCTCAGCCTCCCAACTGCTGGGATTACAGAAATGTACTATGATATCTGGCTTTTTATTTTGTGTTTTTTATTTTGAGACAGGATCTTGCTAAGTCATTAAGTTGCCCAGGCTAGGACTGAACTCACTATCCTCCTGTCTCGGCCTTCTAGATCACTGGGATTACAGGCATATACCACCACACCTGGCTGAATGAATGAATTATTGAATAAACAAATGAATAATACTTTAGCCAGGGTCCCTTCGTAGTAGGAAACACTTGGAAACCAAGGGACTCCGTTACCCCCAAGTGGCCTGAGATTGTTAGTCTCTCTCTCTCTCTCTCTCCCTCTCTCTGTCTCTCTCTCTGTCTCTGTCTCTCTCTCTCTCTCTCTCTCTCTCTCTCTCTCTCTCTGTGTGTGTGTGTGTGTGTGTGTGTGTGTGTGTGTGTGTGTGTCGGTATCTCAGCACAGAACTTTGACTCAGACAGGCTGGGAGTCCACTCCTGGCCACAGTGTTTACCAACTGAGTGACTTCCCCTCACTGAGTCTCTCTCAGCTAACACATGGTTAACAGTAATAACATCTACCAGGCTGAGTCAGGTCTTGATCCTTTGTTCATTTACTGTCCCCTGATTCCTTTCCTTCTGGGGGCTCAGTGCTTAGTGATGGGAGGAGCACAGTCTTCCTCCTCTGGGAGCACCCATGGGCATGGGGGCAGCTCTGCAGGGAAGGGACAGCCCCTGGGTGGGAAATGAGGCTTCCTCTGGCCTGTGAGACTCACTCACACACAGGTTTGCTGCAGGACAAGTCAAGGCAGATGTTCAAAGACACCAAGACGTGAACAAAGGGTTTGCTATTATTGCTGGAGGAGAAGGTGGGAGGTGGCCACAGAAATTGAGGCTGGTGAGGGTAGCATTGACCATATCAGGAAGCGCCTTAGGGGAGTCTGTGAAGTATGTGCTTTGTCCCATAGGCAATACGGGTCCAGTGCAGGTCTGAACAGGGAGGGATGGTCAGATCTATGCTTCAGAAAGATCACTCTGACTGGCACTGTGGAGGATGGCATGGAGCTGGCCATGGTGGGAAACTAGTGGGGGAGCATGTGACATAAAGTGACAGTGATGATAGCTAACCTTTATTGAGTGCCTACTATGTGGTGCACACTGGTTTTTTTGTTTATTTGTTTTGTTTTTGTGTTTTTTTTTTTTTTTTGTACCAGGACTTGAATTCACAACCTCATGCTTGTCAGGCAGATGCTGTGCCACTGAGCTGTATCCCAGGTCTTTTTGTTGTTGTTTGTTCGTGTGTGTGTGTGTGTGTGTGTGTGTGTGTGTGTGTGTGTTTTGAGACAGGGTCTCACTCTGTAATGCAAGCTGGCCTTGAACTCACTGTGTAGCTCAGGTTGGTCTCAAAGTCACGGCAATCTCCTGCCCCTGGGTGCCGGCATTACAGATGTGGCCACACGTTCGGTAAAGCATACTGTTTGAATTCATCTAATTCACACAGTACCCATATAAAGAGGAGGCTCTCATGATCTCTTTCTAATACTATCTCCTATGCACTAAAGTCTCATTTCTATCTCCAGCCTGAACCTCTGCGCTGAGCCAGTACGTCCAACAGTCCATTGGCTTCTCTCCTAGAGATCTCATCTCTTAGCATCTTCATCTTCACGTGTGTGAAAATGATCTGCATCCAGACCTGCACCTCCTTCAGGCTTCCCCAGCCCGTCGGGGGCAATTTCACTCTTCCAGGTGCTCAGGCTGAAAGTGTTGAAGTCTTCCCTGTTCCCCCCACGGCTTAGCCCTTACCCTTTCTCTCATTCCCCACACCCAGTCTTTCTGCAGATCTTGTTGATCTTAACTTCAGCAGGAATCCTTGTTCTCACCACTTCTCCCCCTCCTGCTGCCAGAGCTGCAGGGCCCTGCTGTTTCTTTCCCGAAAGACTGCAATAACCCCAAGGCTCCCCACCTCTGTCCCTTTAAATGCAAATTCAGACCAAGTCCTTTGCTCATATCTGTCTTCATTTTCCCTGGAAGAAGAGTCAACACGGCAGCAGATAGGTCTCTATGCGATCGGGCTGGGGATTTAGCTCAGCGGCATAAGCACCTGCCTTGCAAGCAGGCAGTTGTGAGTTTGATCCCTGGTACCAGAAAAAAAGAAAAAAAAAAAGGTCTCTATGCCATCTAGCCCGCCTCTCCCTGGGCACTTGTCTGACTTCTTCCTCACTCTGCTTCAGCCACGGGGACTTCTTTGCCAGTCTTCCCATGCTCCAAGTGCCCATTAACCTCAGAGTTCTTGCACTTGCTTGGAATGCCACCTGCCCAGGTACCCGTGTAATTTTCTCCTTCAAATTTCTGCTCAAATGTCACCTTATGTCATGTAGGACCCTCCTTAACCACCCAGTGAAATTAGCAATGCTCTTCTCTTCCCTGGTCCTCTGCCTCCTTCTCTTGTTGTTTGCCATATGTAGCAAGTGAATCTTTGTTTCTTTCTTTTTTTTTTTTTTTTTGAGACAGGGTCTCAAATTCTTAATCCTCTTGCATCAGCCTCTGGAGTCCTGGGGTTAGAGGTGTCTGATATATATATATATATATATATATATATATATATATACACACACACATGTGTAATGTATCTTCTGCATTATATTTTGCTTTCAGTTCATTGCCTTTCTCCCTTCCTCTCCTTTCCTTGGACCCCACTAGAATATCGGCTCCCTGAAGACAGAGGTGTTTCTTTCTTTGCATCCCTAGTGCTTAGGATATTGTAGGTGTCCCATCTCTCTTGAATATTGACTAGAAAATCTTCATCTTACAGAGGAGGAACCTGAGGCACCAATTTGCCCAGGAAATTTGCCCAGGAAAGTACACTACAAAGTAGTCGGACTAGTGGGTGACAGGGCCAGAGTGTAGGCAGTGACAGCAGTGGGGTCCGGAGAGGAGGGACTGGCTGAAGACAAGGATCTTGCAGGTGGCTTTAGCTGACTGGGCTCAGAGTTCATGAGCTGACTGCTCCACCAGGAGGTGGCTTTGATATTGTGGGTCCTATCAGGAGTGACATGAAAACATCATATATGTAGTGGAAAGAGACATTGGAAATCCTGTTTCATGTATTTTTAATTCTCAGCTATTTTTCTGGCCTTCCTCAGCCAGGAAGCTGAGACATTCATTGCTTCTGAAGGACACAGATCCAGCAGTGGACAGGCCGCCTGTCCTCAGCTTTGACTTTCTGAATGGGTATTTTGGAAGAGTAGATCAGGCACAGTGGTGCTAGAATCCAGAATTTCAGTTAAAAGACCTATACCAGTGGGAGGAGTAAAGGAGTTTTCTGGACCACCAAAACCTCCTTTTAAATGTCAAGATGTTGAGTCTGATTAAGCTGAAGCACTGTGAGCCCAGCAGAAAGGGACTGTGCAGATTTGAACGTGCACACAGAATATCCCAGAGCACTTATTGTGACCTGAATGGAGGAGACTGAGCTCCACATGTGAGGTTCTGATTGGGTTGATCTGTAGGTGACTCCAAGAAGCTACATGTCTAACCAATTCCCAGCTGGTGCTGACCTTGGGTCACCGGTATAGGCAATGTCCAGTCATGCAGGGCAGCCTCCCAGAGCCTGTTCTGCCAGGGTGAAGTGTCAAAGGGTTTCTAGGAACCCAAGAATACTGTGAGCAAGAAGAGGCCAGGGGCCAGGGCAGTGGAGGTAGAGGCCATGGCAACAACAATCCTCCTGCCTCAGCCTCCTGAATGCTGGGATTACAGGCATGAGCCACCACATCCAACTCATTTCTACTGCCCCTCAGATGGAATCCCAGAGAACGGACAGAGTGAGGTGGGAAAGTCTCCACAATCAAGCTCTGCATGGCACACTTTAGAATTCTTCATTGATGAGCCCCTCTGTGTCTGTAGAACGTGGGGAAGCGGCCCCTCAGCTGTAGTGTGGTTATGCAGAGCCATTTCCTTGGTGTGCAGCCCTGAGCTTCAGACTCCGCAAACATCAATGGAGGTGGCAAGTGGCACCATCTTGTGGGACCCAAGTGGCAAAGGGAGATGAAGAGTGCAGTAGAGGGCATAGCTTGTGCGTGGCCCAGCACAAGCACTCTGCACAAGGCATTTTCTGTAATA